CAATTAACTTGGAGCATGCACTGACGAGAAGTTTGCATGTGACTGTCAAGGCAACCGATAATGTTCAACTATACATATCGTTTTGCTCGCCAAACAACAAAAAACTGATCAGTTCTGGTAAAACCATTAAAGCAAATTTAACATCAACAGATTTCTATAATCTTCGCGAACAAACCAAATGTATACTCAGTGCATCGACTTTCTACGAACCTTTGGTGCAAAAGTAAGTGCTTAATTTTGCTTCACTGCTATTTTATATGTTCAATGGTGTAGTAACGCGTTAACAGAACAACTGTTGTTTTGCCAACGGTATTTAAAAAAAGAATAATTTTGCTAAACAAAGGATAAATTTTTGATAACATACATAAATTGTTAACATTTTACATATGTCTCAGAAAAGAAATTTTTTATATTATTTTGCAAAAAAAAAACTATATATTCAATTTTCTCAAAAATCATTTTGAGAAACAACATATATTTTCCTTTTCACAAATGTTATTATTTGTGCGTAAAATAAACGACAAATCTTTATTTCTATGTTTTTTGTTAGCTCAGTAAAACAGTTTTACAACAGTGTTATTATTACTATTTTTTATTTTTTTTAGCTTCCACATTGTTTTGTTTACTTATTCAGATTATCACTGTTTTAGATTTGAAAGGAAAGAAAAAAGTAGCAAAATTTTGATTGGTAAAGTACTGTTATATTTTTCATGTGCAATGACATAATAGTCTTTGCTTTACACATTTAAACAGTACCCAATTAGCTCAACCAACAATAATTAGAAATATTCTTAATTTCACTTACGATATTTTTCTTTCCAAATTATGACAATAAAAAAAAGAGTTAAATTTTAAAACATAATAATAATTTTTGTCAATGACTTTATAGAGCTTATAGTTGTTCTCTAAAAATAGCAACGAGAATTGCATACCAAAAATAAACGATTTATTTTTGGTAGAATAAAAAATCATAACATATGCTTAGATTTTTGAAGAAACAGCCAATATTAGCTAATTTTTTTAGGATTTTCCTGAAAAGAATAATGTTTTCCTTTTTTTTTCTTGTTCACAGCTTGGCTTCGTTTAGTACCTTTGTTCCGTCTTTAACGTCTATTGACATTATTACGCATAACAGTAAACAGTTCCGTATTTTTTGGTCATAACAGATTCAATTTGAAGATAACAACATAGAACAATTTGTTCAACAAACGTATTGTACGGTGTCGGCAGTAAATCTGTAGCATCGATGTTTTGTTGTTACTATTGTTAGACTAAGCAAAAAGATTGTTCAGTTCAATTCGACTGAAAAAAATCCACAATCTTCTTTTTTTTTTTTTTCTGCTCTTTAAAAAGCTTTTAAAATTGTAGTCAAAAAATAAGTTTTTGCAAAAAAAAAAGCAAATTTAGAGGTATTTATGTTTGATAAAACAATGTAGAAAAAGAAAGTTTAATACAAAAAACCAGTCTTAAAAATTATCTAAAATTATTTCATTTTACTGCCACCTTTTACCTTTATATAATATTATTATCTGTAACTTTTTTTTTGCTTTATCAAAGCAGCAGCGAAAAAAAAGATTAACAGCTTTGAAAAAAAAAGTATTTATTTAGAGTTTAGTCTAATATAAAAACTGTCCATTTTTTACCAAATTCGTTGTCTTTCAATTACCGTAGTAACGACTAACTTTATTGATAAGCTGTACTGTTTTGCAGCTTAAAACAGACAAAAGGTAAAATACTGATAGTTTAAGCTAAACCAAAACTGCTCAAAAAATATATAAAATTTGTAATGCAGAAATTCGTTTAGAAACCTGATTTTTTTACAGATATCACTGGTCTGTTGCACTGATTAAAAATAAACATAAAAATAAACAGCACTTAATTTTGTGTTCTTTTTTTTTCAAATTTTTATAATTATTGCGAAAAATTATAATTATTTGCTTTCTTGTAATTTTAGTTAAGAAAAAGAAAAAAAGTTTAGTTATTTAAACTTAAATTTTTTATTATAAACAACAGCTATTATTTGTGCAGTACTTTTTCAGCTTTTTAATCATTGTACATAACCCGAATACCGTGAACGTTTCTGGCCAAATAACGACACAGCGTGGAAGTGAGGAAGACGATTATGAAACACTTGAAGAAAGTACCGGTAACCAAGAAAAAATTTTCTGCTAAAACTTAACTAGAAAATGTCTAATACGATAAACTATAATTAAGTGTTTCTCTGACAATCAGTTATCCGAGCTGCTACATTTAACTGCCTGCAAACATTTAAAATTAATATTTTTATCATTAAATGTAGCTTCTCAAAAAACTTTTCAAATTTTTATTCTTGTATAACTGTAACTTTCAATAACAAAAATAAATTGCTATTTAGGAAATAATAGCAAGATTTTTGGCGGAAAAGAGCTGCTTTTCGAAGGCATAAATTTAAAACTGCATAAAGGTGAAATTTTTCGACAAGAGTTCAGTCTATTCGACAGAATTAGCATTGTTGTTAAATTAGATGTGATGTAAGTTGGTTAGTTTAGCATTTTTTTTTTCACAGTTATTATAACATCTATTATTTTTTTATTTTTATTTTACACATTTTACTGACGTCTTTCTGTAATTCCTCCAAAAATGATGCTGAAGATAGTAAAACAAAATACGAAAAGAAATTTTCAAGTTTGCGTTTAAAAATGACAATTAATTTGCACCTGAAAGCTTCAGAAGTAAAGTTGTTGCAAAGATAATTGCTGACTTTGAATGAAAAACACTGTCGTCTGTCAACAGACTAAACGTTTTTATTACAAATCTGACACTTTCTAATCTTATGATTAATTTCAGAGTTAGTTTTACGAGACGTCTTTCAAATAACATCACGCTTTACAATAAAAATTTTCATAAAAAGTAAAAAGTTTTAGCAGATTATTGAACAAAATTACAAGTTTTTAAAAAAGAAAAAATTGAAAACAAAAATCAAAAGAACTATCCTTTGTCAACATACGCATTGATTCAAAACATAATAAGAAGAAAATTTGTCAATAACCTGACGGTAGTACAAGAAAAAATGACAGTTACTTGAAGTCTTTTTTTGATTACTTAAGCTGTGATGAGACTGCTGTTTATTCCTCGAAAGTAGAAAGTCTAGCTTGAACTTTATTACTTGGTGTAACTAAGCAATTAGATTATCATCAATTTCTTGATGCTTCGCAAATTTAGAGCAAAAGGGTGTACCACAAGTTGCATAGTCAATCTGAGAACTGTTCGTTCATTAACTATGCTTTAGAAGCAAGTAGTTTTTTAATCCGGTTTCTAATTGTTGCGTTCTAATTCAAGCTTTCTAGATTGTGAGTTCCAGAATGTATTCTAATTTAGAAAAACGAAGAATGCTTTTACTCAAATAAAGCAAGCAAAGGAAGAAAATTGTAACGAAAAGAACAATAACGAGTAGAATAGAAATAACAAAAAAAGAAGAATAGAAATGGCCCCAATGAATACGTTGGCTGAAGTAATAATACACAAGGAGCAGAGTTAATTAGATGGTAAATCATTAGGAATACTACTCTTCGTATTATTCGTTCAGAGCTTATTTATGAGGCATCACAGTGACCACATATAGATTAATAGTCACTTTGATGCCTTATAAATAAGCTCTGAACGAATATTATAAAGAGTAGTATTCTTGTTAGTTCATCATTAGACCTTAGAGAGAGAAACAAGTAACACTTAACACTTATAAGTGCAACATATAGAACCGTAAAAAAATTTTTTTTCAATAAAAAGGTAGGTAGTAAATTATTATGATATCATTTACATTCAAACTGTTTTTAATATGTTATGCAACTTAATCTAATTTTTTCTAATCATTTTTAATTTTTAGCCTTATTGTGTTTAGACAAGTTTACAAGTAATTTTCTCTACGAATACTCTGTAGCTGAATCGGGTCTTGACAACATTTAGCTGTCTGGATAAAAATTTGAATAGCCTTCGCTAACTGATATCATTTTCTGATGAAAAAGCAGTCTAATATCTCGTCGACAAAACTGTACCACATTACTATTAGAAGCTTTTTAACAGCCATTTCACATTCTTTCTGCAACAAAGCTTTAAATACATTTCCTTTGCTACTCTTATCTACTTTCTCGCTATAAATAAGTGGATTCGGAACAGTATAAAGATTTGATCGTTTCGACTTGATAACTGTCTGTATACGTTTGAGTATACCACAAAAGCTATAAGAATAAACTTGTTGCAAAAAGTTAAATAGATTTCCTGAACAACTTATTTTTTATTGCTACTTCTGCCTGTTTTTTGTATTGCATCTACTCTACATTTCTAGAATATTTTACAGAATTACTGGCATACGAGCAACCTTTCATTACTAATTTATTTGATAATTTTTCTTCATATTATTATGCAAGTGTTTTAAGTTAAGAGCATTTCAAAAAGATTTTGAGTATTTAATTGTCAATATAACAAGAAAAAAAGTTACTCTAAATCTTCATCATTATCTCGCGTTATTGATAAAGTAACTGCTAGAAACGTTTGTTTCATGACTTTTTACCGTACAGAAACTTTTCTAAAAATTCTAGTTTAAACCGTTTCACTGCATCTTTTACATATAAGCAGCATTAATTTCTAGAATTTTTAACAGTGAAAACGGTTTAAATACATTAGAAGTAAGATCGTAAAAAATTAGAACAGTAAAAAACTTTATAAAACTGACATAAAACTTGATTTTAATTTTGAGCACATCTCTCCACTTCTGTTTTCAACTCTTGCAATTCTTTTGAAAAGCATACTTTTAGTTATTAATTGATATCTTTTTGAATCAAACTTTTAAATCTTATAAAACTTCTTGAAGATCTAACATCAATTGTTAAAGAAAAAAACTAAAATTATAAAGACAAATAATAACTTTTTTCTTTACTGATGTCAAATTATATGTGTTGTTGTTGTAAACACAAACGATAAATATTATTGAATAAATTGCTCTTTGCAGAATAGGTGTAATAACTATGAAGCTTTTGTCATCAGCATGCAACGATACTGAAGAAGTCATTTATAATCCTGGAAGTTGGAATGAGCATTACACTTCAGAAACTTGGCTCTGTACCAAAGAAACGGTACTGATGATTACTTTCTATCTTTCAAGTTTTTATTTCGATTATATAATGAGCGTCTGGCAATCAATTTTATCAAACTTGTCTGAAAAAATTTAAAATATTGAATTATCACTTGGTAAAAATTGAGACTATTGTAGAGCTCCAAAAAATTTTAAGAAATGTAGATGTGCGCTTTACAAACTTTATCCTAAACAATCTTTGTCTGAATTTATCAAAAAAAAGTTGTTTGGAAAGATCGACATTAAAATCACTTTAATCTGTAAGAATGTTTAAAACCAAATTGGAATTGCTTTCTAATGAGTAGTCTCAAAACTAAAAGTGCTGTGACTTTTTAACTCAAAAATTTTGAGCCATTCAAGTAGAACTGACATGTAGAAAGCCAGACAAAAAATTGAATTTTAGAACCGTTTGTTTCATCAATAAACCAAACTTTAGTGATCGCTTCGAGAAATCAAACAATTTTTTTGTAACATAAGCCTCTGACTGTTTTTTGTGCCACTACTGTTTCGGGCAGTTTTACTGCCAAAGCTTTGCAGCAGCAGATAGACCAAATAATAGATACCAGTTGTGTAAAGATCAAAATCGGTTATAGTATTTTAGATATTAGAAAAAATGTTGGTCAAAAAGCTACTTGTTTGGTTGAAGAAGAACAGAAAAAATTAGGAAATTAAGAGGATTTTTAGAACATCGATAAACACCAATGCCTTTAGCCTATTACGTTACTTTCTTCCTTTCGTATCATAGTTTATACGAAGATTGCACAGTTGCATAATTTTGACATAAGATTCCAAAGCAATGCTTGAAATTTTTTAAGATTTTTTTTAATTAAGAGTATATTATGATTATTTGATAAGTGGTAAACATTGATTAAACAGCTATTATTTCAGGCACTTGTTCCTGATTGTGTAATGTTTCTCAACTAAAACAAATTATTACGGCTTGACTTAACAATTTAAATATTTCAGAATATAACTTCTGTTTATAATTTTGTGGAGATGAACGATATGTATAATGTGACTTTGTGGCTACAGGGTGAAGAATGGTTAAACATTGTTCACGTATTCGTGTACAGCGAAAATAACGTAGTTAAAGCAGAAGCAGTTATGCAAAGTTGGTACGATAGACTCGGTTTCTGGGTTTATGCTCTCAGTGGTACTATTTTAGGACTTATAATATTGATTTTGGTAATTTTAGCAGTCACTGTGATACATTTTTGTACTCCAGCGGTGGCTGTTCGTGACAGCTTTGAAGTTCTTGATGCATATTCGGTGAGAAACGTATCAAAAGCTGAAAATTCAAGTTTACCACTGCAAACTTTTGCATAAACTAAGCAAAAGTAATTGGTACATCAACAAATTAAATTAAGTCTAGCAAATAGCTTTTTTAAAATTCATTTCGTATACGGTTTATTCAGTGCTTATTATTTGCTAGATTTTTTTGCTAGAACTAATTTTAAATCTTGATGCATGAGCAATACGCAGATATTTGACTACTATTATTTATTGAACAGCTGATAAACTGTGCAGCGTAATAAAGTGTAAAATAGGTAAATATAATGTATAATTTTTTAAAGTTTTCAGTTTTTGAACATAAAATGAAGTTACGAAATGTGAATATATTTGAGCTGGTTACTTAACTGTTAAAATTTGTCAACAATGTTGATTATGAAAAAAAGTTTTACCGAATAATTTGTGCATTTATTTTATGTTGTATATACATATATGAATTTGTGCCTCTATTACATTATTTGCTATGAAACAGTGTTGTTTTGGCTGATTAGCAAATCTTCTACTGTGATTTGAATTAGATAACTCTTAACTTATTAGCTGCTGACTGAATGGTTACTTCAACAAATGCTATAGAATAAAAATACAGCAAAGTTGGTTATGCACGATTTACTGCAAATGTTTTGCTTTTTTTATCCAACATTTTTTGCTAATCCAAATTGATAGGCTAATAAGTTAAAGGATAAAAATAATACTGCTCAAGTTGATAACTATACTTTATTTGGCAACTTTTTTTTCTTATTCATTTTTACGTGTGCTGAAATATTTTATGTTAACCGCTATAAGTATGAATTTGAGCTGAGCTTATAAAGTGATTTTAGTAAAAATAATAACAAGTATTTGTTACTATTATTGTACAATTTATTAGACATACTAGAAAATTTTTCTTTTTTTTTTGCAGTTTATGTTGTATAACAGCTGCTGTTTAGGATAATTTTAAAGGTAATTCTGACATGCGAAAGAAAACCGTTTTTTATTTCTTTTTATTTTTTTTGTAATTCTTATGTTCTTCTCTGTTTTGCTTTCCAAACACTGGTTTTCGCTGACTTTCTCAATTCAGCCTTAATATTTTGGTTTATCATGAAAGCATCATGAAAATACAGCATTAATGTCAAGTTTTAATTACAACAATTTTGGTGAATGTGAATAGAAATTTTACCTCGAGTTTTTCACAAAGGTATTATAAAAATGAGCAAATCTATGATAAATATGTGGTTAAGGTACACTGTATAATAAACTGAAAACCAAAACAGCGATGACAATGTTGACTGTAGGTTCATCTTGACAAGAACTAAATTTGCCAATTATTTTGCCATTCATCAGAAGCATCGTTATTTATTTGTTTATTTTTAAGAAATTTTGAAAACAATCATATGTCATAACTGTAGTATATGTCATTTACATAGGTCAACATTCTAATAAAAAAAATTTTTTTTCAAAAAGCATCATTG